TGTGACAAAAAAATGCCCATGTATGGGTGCACCACACAAATTGTCACTTAAAACTTGGTAGTGTGAACAAAAAGAGTTCTATCCACACTAACAAATTTTATGTGTCAAAATTTAATAATGCCCTTATTTGGGTGTAATATAACATTATTATGCCCATGTATGGGTGCACCACAAAATTGTCACTTAAAACTTGGTAGTGTGGACCAATACCTTTTTAAATTCATCTTTTGTAATTTTTCCATGACTTTGGGAACAACTTCCAGTACAAATTCAGCAATCCTCAACCATGTCTGATTTCAAAGCTCAACTAACTAAATACTTGATAGCAAGATACTGATTTGTGTTTTTCTGTTTTTATTTTGAATATTCCTTGTTTTTACAAATTTAGTACCTTTCTTTTTTACAGTACTAAAATTCTGAGTAAATTTCAAATGAGGATTTCTAAAATTTGGTTAAGTTTTTAATTTTGTTAATTAAGTTTATTTTAAATCAGTTTTATTTTTTTTTTATGTTTCTCTTTTGCCTTTACTGTATATTTTGATGATGGAGCAAGGGCAGTTTACTGTTTGGGCTTGTGCCTATTCCTTGCTCCTGGCAAGATTGTACTCTTACTTTGCCAAATAAATATTATTATTATATTAAAGCTATAAGCTTTGTTGATATTATCAAATTTTATATGACAAAAAATGCCCTTGGTGTAATATGACATTATCATGCCCATATATGGGAATATCTTGCCCATATATGGGAATATCATACCCATATATGGGAATATCATGCCCATATATGGGAATATCATGCCCATATATGGGAATATCATGCAAATTTGTCACAAAGGTTGATAGTGTGGGCAGAGATATAGCAAATGTGCAAAACTCATTGGACTTCAATGTAGTTACCATGGTTTCACAATATTAATTTTATATGCTTGTAAATTTCTTCCAGTTTCCATCATAATAGGAATACCAACAATAAAACGGGAGATAGAGAGTTACATTATACCAACGCTTCGCTCGCTCCTTGACGGATTGTCACCGGAGGAGAAACTTGACTGTCTAATCGTAGTTTTCATTGCAGAGGTAAAAGTACATAATTCATTTCCTTTCTAAGTTTAACGCCAAGTACCATGACCCTATAACATTTTTGGAGGTTAAAGTTCAGTGCTTATTTGAACAGTGCTGGTGTTAATTCAAGAGATTTCTTTTTAGTTAGAACATACAAAGCATTTCCTTTTTTTAGTTTTGTGTTTTTTATTAGAATTTGGTGGTGTCCCGATAGTAGTATAATTTTTATGTATTTCACTATCAATTCATTCCTTGTGGATCAAACTCTTTCTGTTTGAAAAAAAAGTGTAACATGCCTATATATGGTCATGATGACATCACATTATGATCTAATAAAGTCATATAAATTGGCATATTTTTTTAGCGATTTTACCTAGTATACTTGACTGTCTATAAAGGAAGTCATTAAATCAAAATAAATACTATTCCTATTAATCCTGGCTACCTTCCATGAAACCTTTGCTTTATTATTGCCTTTGATATCATGGTATAACAAATCATTCATTGACTAACACATCTTTTCCTGGAAATTTGCCTGATAAATATGTATACATAATTGATTTTGGATTTTACCGATTTTTTTTTATGTTTGAATATAATAAAATGTATTTTGTAGAGCACTATATAAATGTCAGATGTTATTGGTATTGTTATTGCAATACCATTTGTTCTATGCTTGACCTAGGTCACATATTTCCACTTTGACCTTTGACTCATTTTAAAGGCTTTTACGGTTGTCTGAAATTATAATGTTTTTTTCCTTTTTTCAAAAGAATCATTAATTTATTTGGCTAAATTGTTAAATAATAGTATGTTTTTACTTGATAGAATTTAAAATGACATGCCATTTAATACATCAAAAAATCCACAGATTGAGGCTCCTCCTCTATCTCAAACCCACCATTTTACCCATCTTCACAACTGCAAGACAAATTGATAATGCCATACATCCACTCTGTACATCAACATCTTGCTGAAGAATATTATTCCAGTCTGCATCATTCACAGGTTGCTTGTCGCATCTGCTTGTCACTTCTGCAGATTCTCTATTTTTAATATAGGTCATCACACCTGGCAAAACACCTCATGAACTAACCAATAGAAATCATCAGACAGAGTCCAACAAACATGTAGCGTTTCAACCCTTATTAACCATAACGCTTTTTAATGGTGGGAGTGTTAGTCAAACACTACTTTCTTCTCTTGGTCTCCAGCTCATATCTTTTTGTTTGACATTGACAATCAGCAGGATGACTTCTCCGTTTCTAGTTTTTTACCTGCTCGCTTTCTTTCTTTTCCTGATAGCCTGATGGCAGTTAAGAAGTTCCAGACTGCATTCGCTGGAAACCATCTGCAGCCAACCTCAGTGGGGTATATACATTTACCATTCCTTCTCCTTCTAACTGTCCAGAAGGTCTTGATATTTGGCCTTCTTCTGCTCAGATACTGTCTCGCAGTTCTCTTCCCAGGGGACTGTGAGCTCCACCATTTTTAATTTCTTTAATTCTGCAGACCATAGCACTGCACCCGGTCTTAATGTTGTGTGTAAACTTGAGGAAACTGTAGTCTCTTCCCCAAATCTACCTGAAGTTCCCATGTGAGTGCTGACTGCAGAAGATTTGAGCTTGTTTCTTTTACATTTGGTTTCTTCTCTTATTTCAAATAACAAAAGTAATTGAAGAGAAGTTTTCTTGATTTTGCGTGGTCGTTTCTTGATTCTGCACTATCTGCAAGTGCTGTCTGGCAATAGAATGGTTTCCTCTACAGTATTTCTCAACTTTAAACTTCTCCCTGTATTCTCTAACTTCATCTCCCATTCAAAATTCAATAGCAACAAAAGTAGCCAATTACAGAATTAAAAAAATAATAAACTATATAAATATATATAAACAATAATAAACTACCGGTATTTAAATATATAAGCAATAATAAACTAGTTGGATATTACTTATGTGAAGTCACAGTCAGATGAAATAAAAGACACGTAAGTACTTTACTATAATCTTTCAAGAATTCAAAGAATAATATTTACTCTTTATCTCAGCATAATGTTGGTGCACCTGCCCTACACTAATTAGTTTTTTGTCTGGTAAACCACATTAAGTACATCATATCTAGTCCTTTCTGTTATATTGATATACAAGTTAAAACCCTAAGAAATCCCTGTTTTTTTCTTGAGAGTTTCAAGAGCATTGAGTACCGGTTAATAACATTGTTGAACAATGAAATAGGAAATCCCTTTATGTTCAATCTATAGTAATGTAAATGAAAGTTTCACAATATTTCATTTATTTGATCAAACCACATCTTTACAGTGGTATAACAGACACTATGATCCAACAATAATTTATGATAGAAATGTAAAAAGCCTAAAAGAAAACAAACTTAAAAAAACAAATTGACACTTGAATTGATAGTGAAACATTTTATAACAAATTTCTTATAAATGCAAGAAAACATCATCATTAAAAATAAAAATGTCTTTTTTTAAAACTATAGTTTATTCTTTAAACTTGGTGGCCTCAGTAAACCCAATATTATTCTTCCATGCGCCCCAGTACACACATAAATCATAAATCAGTACTAACACTTGAATTGATAGTGAAATATTTTATAACAAATTTCTTATAAATGCAAGAAAACATCATCTTTAAAAATAAAAATGTCTTTTTTTAAGCTATAGTTTATTCTTTAAACTTGGTGGCCTCTTTAGTAAACCCACTGTTATTCTTCCATGCGCCCTAGTACACACATAAATCAGTACTAAATTTTAAAGCCCCATTCCCGGCAAATTTTCACTAAAAAAGATTTTTTTTTAAAAGAAAAATTGCATGTATTAATTGTCATTAACCATGGAAAAATATTGGCAAAAATTTTAGTTTTACGCAAAAGGATAAAAAAAAAATTAGGAATAGAGTCTATTTCTCATAGGAGATTACCATTTTCTCAACAAATTCTTTGTTACTAGGCAAATTCAGAGGTTGTATATCGCATCCGCTTGAATACTCGCGCTTTTGTGTATACTTTATGCAGTCAGTAAAGTACGCCCTCTCTAATGAGATTAGTTTTTGTACTCAGCATCTCGCACAGTGCAGTCGAACAAGTAGGCCTGAGATATGTTTGTTTAATTGTCAAAATCTTGGTCAGAATCATTCTTTAATACATTTGCACTTGACTTGACCATTTCCTGGTATTGTGTTGCCTGGTTGTTCTTGGGTGTCTTCTCCTTTTGCCTTCCACGTAGCCTTGGAGGATGGCTGTCTCTTATACACATCTAGATGTGTATAAGAGACAGGTCTTGGGCTAATTAGCTTTAGAGTTTACTCTTAAGATGCTTGCCTTCCAATCTTAAGTTTCTGCCCCCTACTTTAAAAATCCTTCCAAAATTTCCTCTGTGTCTCTTTACGCCATCATTATTTAATATTTAAATTATTGTTTGGTGGTATAAAATGCTTGTCTTCCAATAAGATTCATGGCTATTTGTCCTGGAACTTGGTGGTTTAAAACGCCTGTTTTCCAATCAAATTGATTAATTGATTATTGATTGATCAAATTTTTTTGTTGATTTTTAAATTTCTGTTTTATTTTTCTTTACAGTTGGATATTACTTATGTGAAGTCACAGTCAGATGAAATAAAAGACACGTAAGTACTTTACTATAATCTTTCAAGAATTCAAAGAATAATATTTACTCTTTATCTCAGCATAATGTTGGTGCACCTGCCCTACACTAATTAGTTTTTTGTCTGGTAAACCACATTAAGTACATCATATCTAGTCCTTTCTGTTATATTGATATACAAGTTAAAACCCTAAGAAATCCCTGTTTTTTTCTTGAGAGTTTCAAGAGCATTGAGTACCGGTTAATAACATTGTTGAACAATGAAATAGGAAATCCCTTTATGTTCAATCTATAGTAATGTAAATGGAAGTTTCACAATATTTCATTTATTTGATCAAACCACATCTTTACAGTGGTATAACAGACACTATGATCTAACAATAATTTATGATAGAAATGTAAAAAGCCTAAAAGAAAACAAACTTAAAAAAACAAATTGACACTTGAATTGATAGTGAAACATTTTATAACAAATTTCTTATAAATGCAAGAAAACATCATCATTAAAAATAAAAATGTCTTTTTTTAAAACTATAGTTTATTCTTTAAACTTGGTGGCCTCAGTAAACCCAATATTATTCTTCCATGCGCCCCAGTACACACATAAATCATAAATCAGTACTAACACTTGAATTGATAGTGAAATATTTTATAACAAATTTCTTATAAATGCAAGAAAACATCATCTTTAAAAATAAAAATGTCTTTTTTTAAGCTATAGTTTATTCTTTAAACTTGGTGGCCTCTTTAGTAAACCCACTGTTATTCTTCCATGCGCCCTAGTACACACATAAATCAGTACTAAATTTTAAAGCCCCATTCCCGGCAAATTTTCACTAAAAAAGATTTTTTTTTAAAAGAAAAATTGCATGTATTAATTGTCATTAACCATGGAAAAATATTGGCAAAAATTTTAGTTTTACGCAAAAGGATAAAAAAAAAATTAGGAATAGAGTCTATTTCTCATAGGAGATTACCATTTTCTCAACAAATTCTTTGTTACTAGGCAAATTCAGAGGTTGTATATCGCATCCGCTTGAATACTCGCGCTTTTGTGTATACTTTATGCAGTCAGTAAAGTACGCCCTCTCTAATGAGATTAGTTTTTGTACTCAGCATCTCGCACAGTGCAGTCGAACAAGTAGGCCTGAGATATGTTTGTTTAATTGTCAAAATCTTGGTCAGAATCATTCTTTAATACATTTGCACTTGACTTGACCATTTCCTGGTATTGTGTTGCCTGGTTGTTCTTGGGTGTCTTCTCCTTTTGCCTTCCACGTAGCCTTGGAGGATGGTGTGGGGGAGATCATGTGTTGTGTATTATTATAGTAATACAATGCTTTAGTATACTACCCCCACATTCAAAATTCCTATTCCCCTAAAAATACATTTAAACATGGCATTTGAATATGTCGTATGTACACTTTTATTTTTAGACTTTAACCAAATCAATCAATCAATCAATCAACCAACAAGGATTCTGTAGCTTCAGTACCCACGGCAGAATGCAATGTTTAGGATGCTAAGACGTTGGTTTTACCCAAAGTGCATTTAAATGCGATTGCATTTGCTAATGGTCACATATAAATATTAAAATTTGGAGGGGAAAAAAATCTAATAATTCCACTAATATACTATTGTAAGTCCCATTTAACATTTAAACAGTTGTGATCACAAAGTTCTGTAAAAAGGGATTTTCAGCAGATATGTAATTGATCCCACTTTGGTCTGTTCTTCATTAATCAATTCTTTTTAAATTTCCCCCTCTTATACTGTAGTAAAACCACAGAATAATGAAACCAAACATTTCAACACATTGGCTTTTCATATCGAATTGTAATGAAATTCAAGCCAGTAATATGCAAATAGGCTATGAAGATGCATCCTCATCTCTTGCCTTAGTCTAGTGTAAATTCCACTCTAGTTCCTCCGAATCTAGAGATTGGCATAAACCTACTCTATTTTGTTGACTAATAGTAATAAAATTTAACTTGTGATGTTAACAACAAATCTTCTTTACAGTATTTTATAAATCAATAACCAGGGAGTACGACCACCAACAATATGTTGTGGGGAACCCCCTCTCTTATAGTAAAACCACAGAATAATGAAACCAAATATTTCAACACATTGGCTTTTCATATCGAATTGTAATGAAATTCAAGCCAGTAGTATGCAAATAGGCTATGCAGTGCATCCTCATCTCTTGCCTTAGTCTAGTGTAAATTCCACTCTAGTTCCTCCGAATCTAGAGATAGGCCTAGACCTACTCTATTTTATTGACTAATAGTAATAAAATTTAACTTGTGATGTTAACAACAAATCTTCTTTACGGTATTTTATAAATCAATAACCAGAGAGTACGACCACCAACAATATGTTGGGGAACCGAATTTCAAGTATTGTATTTGCAGGGATACATGCATGCATTATGGGCGACTCAAAACCGTCCATTTTCCAGCAGGGTATAAATGTTTTTAACACGACACATGTTGTAAGTGAACTTTTCACCGGGTAGGCAGTGGTTAAGCTTTACATTTTTGGGAATCCCCACCGAATATTGGTATGAAAACATACATTCAATCTATAAAGGTTGTTTTTATCAAACATTAATATGATTAGCTTTAGTTTAATGTAACATTCGATAGATTTGAAGAATATAATGAACTTGCTAAAGGTAGACCAAGCCCAATTAGGCTAGGCCGAGCTGATTAGGCCAAGCCATCCAAGCCGTCATGGTAAAATTGGCCGTCCTAAATATTTGTTGGCCATCCAAAAGACGGCCGGGCGGCTCGCTGGCTAAGCCTATGCATGCACTGGGTGTACAGCTTTTGTCTAAGAAATCTTGTACCACCACCAAAACTAAGCGAACCAGAACCCATAATCTGTCTGTACATTGTGGCGCCCCTGCATTCACCGCCAGGCGGCCTGAGGGCGTTTGATTCATTCTGTCTATTGGCACAGTGCGACAGAATGTTTGTGTTTCATGACATATTGCTGCCGTGGTTTTTGTTTAGACCTTCAGTTGTATTGCATTTCCTTAAAGATATATTGTCCCATGCTAAATACCAAAAAAATCATTAAAATATTTGCCCACTTTGAAGTAACATAAAAGTTATTAACTTGAACATAGAAATTAGTGTATTTAAAAAATATCTACACATCAGTTTACAGCGAAAAATTATAGAAAAACTTCCAGTCACTGGAAGTGTTTTATTATTTTTAATATAATTTTTTGGTTTAAAAATCAGGGTACACATTTTAAAAATTCGATAATTTTTATGCACAAGTTAATAATTTGTATGCTATTGCAATTTGAGCAAGTTTATTTAAAAATTATTTTTTATGATTTTTTGACATTATCAAGGGACAATACATCTTTAATTTTTATCTTGACATTTTAAGAGGTCTTTTTCTTGTTGCTTCTATTGTTGAGGCTACTATTCATTGTTTGATGTAAAGAGGAAATTTAATTGTTCATTTTTTTTTAACTTATTGTAGCACAACATGTTAATGTTTATTAGAATTGTGTGTTAGAAAAATTTATTGCTGTCAAATAATTGCTCTCATTCTTTTTCACAATTTCAGGTTTCCAAGAGAAATTGAAAGTGGGTTACTAGAAGTCATATCACCACCAGCATCCTACTACCCGGATTTAGATAACTTAAAGGAAACATTTGGTGATTCTAAAGAAAGAGTAAAGTAAGTAGCCTTCACTATTAAAAACTTGAAAGTAGCCTTAAGGTCTGTTCACACAAGGTGGTATTTGGTCCACAAATTTTTATTGACAAAAAAATGTATGCCCATATATACTCATGATGTGCCCATATATGGTCATGATGTAATGTTCATGACCATATTTAGGCATGTCACATGTTTTTGTAAAATAAAATTTGATAGTGTGGACAGGGCTTTATGCACATAATATTGTCTGTTGAGTGATCTTATCTGTTGAATTGGGTTTTGCTATGAGAAAGGAAAGAATGATCTTAGCGAGACTGACCAAGACGCGACTTAATTTTTAATGCAACACTGCCATTAGCCTGACACTGACAGATCAATGTAACGAACATGCGACACACTTATATGTCATTTACCAGGTATCCTAGCCATGGCAGAGGAATGTGGCCAAGTTTCTTTGATTATGATGATGATAAAATGACACCAGTATAAAGTGACAATGATAATTAATTTGATGTCAAATAATTGACAGCTTGCTTGATGGGTCGTGCGACCTTTTTGTTAATATTCTGTTCATCCTGAAGAGATAAAACTAACTATGCCTTTCTAAGAATTACTATATATAGCATTTATTACTCCTAACACATACATCTTAAAACCATCTTTTTTTGATTAAGTACATTGTTGAAACATTTATTATACTTATTGAGGAAGTGAATTACTTAGGGCATTGAGACTAACTAGAATATAACTAAAGGAAGTAAAATAATATGAATGTATCAAATGTCAAATTTTATTAATTGTGCTTAAGTACCATGCATACTGCTAAAGCATCTACGTGCTTTCCAGAAAATTATAGAGAAAAGTGATAAGGAGAGCAATTAAAAGGCAGTTGTCAGAAATTAGTAAAAAAAAAAAGTAAAAAACTAATGAAAATGTTGACCAAAGAGGAATGTCAAAATTTATTTTAATGAGTATTAGAATAACCTGACCTGGAGTGGAGTTGAATAGCTCAATGGTTACCGTAAAATGTTTGCTTTTAATCCTGGTGTCCTGGGTTCAATGCCCGTCACAGCAAGACTTTTTGTGATGACATCATATCAACAATTTTTTATCTTTTGCGTAGATGGAGGACAAAACAGAATCTTGATTTTTCATTTTTGATGATGTATTGTCAACCAAAAGCTACTTTCTATGTGCAGGTAAGTGAATTCTTAATATCGAATCATGCTGTACTTACCACACACCTTGAAGTTATTTAGCCTCCTTAAAGTTATTAAAAGAAAGGAGATTCACTGTCCAAATAAGTATATACAGTAAATGATTCTTTTGAATTATAATCTTTATTTTATGTCTGGTGTATCTGTCTTCAAACCCCCCCTCCCCCTTTCCCTATCATCACACCTTCCCTTATTTCAAGATTCCAAAGATATGGCACTGTTATTGAAGATACATAATGATGAGTTGATCTGTTTTTGATGTGTCCATGGCTGGTGTTGTTTTTTATTTTGTTCTTCCTATTGCCTGGTTATAATTATTTTTGATCTGCCCAGGCCTGGTTCTACTCATATTTTTGATTTGACTTTTGTCTGTTTTACTCTCTGTTCCAGCCCCAGTAGGAAATAGGTTGTTATTCAGTCCCACAATGCAAATGTACTACAGATGCTAACATTAGAATGTTCAGAGCTGGTAGGAGAAAGCCAAGAAAACTCTTACAACATACAAACAAGTACAACATTAGGCCTAACAAACGGAAATCATATTTGGTCCACTGGTTTGAAAACAAATTTGTCTAGGCCTAATTCTAGGGCCCATCGCAACTCCCTCCCCCCTCTCCCACCAGTTCATCAGTTGCTTCACATACACTTTGGTTAGTAAAATGGTAAATACATGTCCAAAATTGATGGATAAGTTATCAAATTTGGTTATTAAACTTGAAACTTTTCCAAGATTTTGGCTCTGTTGGGTTTTTGCACACTCATTTTTTTTTTCTTATTGTAGAATGTGATACTGCTATCTAGTTATTAATTAAGTTCATAGCCCTTGAGAAACAGATTTTACTTGTGAAGGAAAACATATGTTACCCAGGTCAATCATGCACTTGAAGCTCCCAAACCTACAATATTAATTTTAAAATGAAGCTTAGTACTTGAAATGCCTGTATGTATATATCAAGGTATCTTTATTTCAGAAAATCAAAATCAAAATATCATCACAGCACAAAACTGAATTGAGATAAAATGTACAAATATTCGTCAAAGTATAAAAAATAGTCTTAAAATTACAGGACAAACACAAATTTACACCACAGAATCCAAAAATCACACACAAACAACAAATTAAACAAGATTATGAAACATCAAATTGGCTAATAATAAGCAATTTATTAAGCCTTTGCTATACATATAGTGTTTTTTTTATTGCTTTTTGATCTTTTTGTCAGGATATATTTACTATTTATTATTCCGTCTTCCGAAGTCGGTATTTAAGTCCTGTCCATTCCTAACACACCTCTAAAATTGCAACAATAATGTAACAAATTCAGATATAGCTTAATGTAGAAATTTGAATGATAATTGTTATAAGAAATTACAAGTCTTAGCACTTTAAAGTCAGATTCCTGAGGGGAAAAAAGATTTTGATATGTTTTCCAACTGATTTTTATAACACATAAAAAAAGGTGTTTGATAAAAAAAAAAACTTGGGAACGGCTAATGAGATACATGTTTTAGAATACTTAAAAACTGGACGGGTGAGGGGGAAGACTGCAACCACCATTTTTTGACCTTTTCTGTATTTCGCTTACCGTTCTTGAGTTTTTCATCAAAAACCCATTTTTTTGTCCTATAAAAATCAGTTGTACAGCATACCAGAATGTTTTGTTCTCCAGAGCCAGACATTAATGACTGACTATAATAAATATTGACTCTAGCTTTGATGATTAATAACCTTATATTTGTATAGCGCATTTTGTAAAATGCCTTCTACACTTCACATTAACATTATCTAACAAGGAATGAGGAAACTTGCACGCTTGATAAAATATGAATGTAAGCAAATGAAAACTGTTGAATTCTTGAATGAATTGAATCATTGAATAAAGGGGGCAGGGTACACCTATTCAATAAAGTTATTTACCGTGACATGTGACTATAATCATAAATTTGCATAATTCATATGGAACTTGTTAAAATCCTGTTACGCTTCAGTAATTATTGATTGAAGGTAATCTCCACACCTATGCTGTATAATATTTTCCAAGTACAGTGTGTCATTCATCAGTGTATTATAGATGTTTTTGTTTTACTTCGTTCTCCATGTCTCCAAGGTCTAGTTTGGCTGTCAAAGCACCCTCTAGAGGGCAGGCAAATTTAAGATACTGTCATGAACCCTTGGTTAGCTTATTTCAATGTAAATTATACAGGCTAGACATTGTATGCCCCTTTTGAAACCATATCTTAGGTCAAAGGTGAATTACATGAGAGTTTGGCTGCTAGCAAAAAATTCTTTTTTTTTTTAACACAATGTGCCTTTTTACAACGCATTATCTTTTGCCTCAGTGCCTCATTTAATCGCGTTGGTGCATCCAAGGTTACGAAGACTTCTTTTCCATTTCTATAATTTCTCTCAGCAAATGTGATGTATTATTATTATTAGGCCTACTGTGTTATAATGCTTTCCTACTTATTGTCAACAATTCCAATTCAAAGTTCACATTCATTGGTTTCTATTAAATTGTATGTGCTTCCTGAGAATAATAGAGTGTGAAAGAAGTACAAAGAACATACAAAACGAATGACAATGATGCTAGATAGGAAGAGTATGTCATCAGTTGTCATGGTGATACACATGCTTTTACGAGAGAAATAAAGACAGTAATGCTGGTGATGTCATAATGACAGTGACGTAATAGACCTTTCTGAGTGTCAACTAATTCTAATAACTGAACAATCAGAACGGCGCTGGTAATATGCGCGCATCTCACAAACATGTGTCGCCTCACAAACGTACGTGTTCGCGTATGTTTGAACATTGTCGTCTTGTGGGACCTTAGCAACAATATCCAAGGGGCGTGGCTTAGCGGAAAGGTCCATCAGTAATAATCCATACATCAAGCGCAATGAGCATCATGTTCGATGGATACTGTACTATACAAATTGCTGTACCAAAACTGTGAACTCCTTGCCCGAAACCGTGAAGCTTTCAATTCACTTTTAAAACAAATCTGAATACGAACTTGTTCATGGAAACATATAGTTAATTGTTAATATGCAGTGAAGGGCCATGAACGTCGCTTGCGACGTATACAGGCGCTATACAAATTGCTATTATTATTATTATTATTATTAAATCTACACTATTATTATAGTAGTAGCGAAAATGATGATGATGATGATGACGAGGAGGAGGATGATAAAAAGATGAGGATACATTATGTTAGTGGTGGTATTGAGCATACTGAGAAGGGAGAGGTAGTTGTTTTCAAGTGACTTACAAACTCTGTAATTTAAGTAGATTCCAGTACATTAAGAATAATACATTTTCTCCCATCAGCTTGAAGATGACATAATAGCCAAACCTGGGTATATCACTACAATGAAAAACTTTGCCCAGCAGCAGAAGTCCGACGACTGGGTGTTGTTAGAATTCTCTTCGTTAGGGTTTATAGGTAAGTGATCATGCTTCTATTGTAATGTACATCTTATTGGTTATTAGTATCTTAAAAATTGTAGAATTCGTTGATTAATTGATTTTCTAAGATTGACTGAATGTATAAGTGAACGATTAGATTATCAGCTGACTAATTAATAGATTGATCGATTGATTGATTGATCGATTGATTGATTAACTGACACTGACTTTCAAAAATTACTGAATGTATAATTGAACTATTAGATTATCAGCTGACTGGCTGACTAATTAATAAATTGATTGATTAAAACTGACACTGATTTTCCAAAAATTGACTGAATGTATAAGTGATTGATTAGATTATCAGCTGATTGGCTGAATAATTAATAACTTGATTGATTGATTGGTTAACTGACACTGATTTTCTAAGACTGACTGAATGTATAAGTGAACGATTAGATTATCAGCTGACTGGCTGACTAAATTTTTAAATTGATTGATTGTTTAACTGACACTGATTTTCCAAAATTGACTTATTAAAGATGAAAAAGAAATGTTATCGCAGTTAATAAAAATAAAATTAATGTGACTGAATTAAAACATTAATTTACAAGCATCATGATGTAATTACAAACAACTATCATGAAAATATAATATAAAAAACATTAAAATGTATTACAAAACATATATATTAAAATTGCTACTACAGAATTTTTTTTTAATTAAATTAAATGCCTATATACAAATTTTTCACAAATTTAAATCACACTAAAAAATTAAACAAATAACATTCTGAACATTCTGATAAAAATTTAAAAAATTGTACAAATATAAGAAGTGAAACCATTGCACCAACATAATATCAAAACATTGAAAGAGGTCATTAAATTTTTACAGTTTAAAGTTTAGATATGAAAAATTGCAGGCCATAACTGTACACTTGCTAACTGTTGAATGAAGCCTTATTTATAATTTAGGTCTATTTAATCATTGTGCAGTAATGATGTTGAGCATGACTTAAAACAATTAATGTTATGAACATTACAGTAACATCTCCCTATTATGTACCCTTCCATCCGAACAGAGTTTGTAAATGAGGAAATTCGTAATTCAGAGAGTTCAAATTTTTATAGCATTTCAAGTGTGGTGAGGGTAGGCCTAGGCCTGTGCTACAAAGTACAGGGATAGGTAGGCATATTCTTGCCATGGGAGCAAATTGACTTGGATTTTACTGTTTTATGCAACAAAATGATACTTTACAGAAGCCAAAATTACCTGTGCTCACTGTGTGGGTGCGTTATTCATGCGAATAACGCTCCCAATGAACGAAAAGTGAGAATTACAGTACAGTATTGCCTGAACAACCATGCACAGCTCAAATCATATATCTAGGCTGAAAACAATCTATATTTCTTGCTTTAAACTTAGCTTTATGTCCCTTTATTGGTTTAAATGTTTTCTTTGGCTATTAGAACATTTTATATTATTTTTGAAGACTTTTGAATACAATTTTAAGTGTTTTTGTAGTTAAAAAAAACGATTGTTCGTAAAATGACGTCATCGTCGCAAATTGGAGATTTCATATTTTGGAGGTTCGTAATTGGGAGATGTTCCTGTATTAATTAAAATATTTTGTTGTTTTAGGAAAATTATTCAAAAGTAGTGACTTGGGGTTGGTTGTGGAGTTCTTCTTAATGTTTCATAAGGAAAAACCAATAGACTGGCTTCTAGACCATATATTGTATGTTAAGGTGTGCAACCCAGAGAAAGATAATGTAAGTACTAGCATTGCCATTTTGTTTTGTTTTTTGTTTTTGTTTTTGTTTTGTTTGTCGTTTTGTTTTTTGTTTTTGTTTAAGTCCTGTCCAGAATATCAAATTTTATTTGATTGAAACATGTTTCATGTCTAAGTATGGTCATGATGACATCACATCATGACCATATATAGGCACATTATGGGTGTATATGGGCATATAAACAGTTTTATATAAAAGAACATTTGATAATCTGGGCAGCTTTAAGCCCTCTGTCCAGGCTATCAAAATCATGTGACATGCCTAAATAAGGTTATAATGACCTATCGTTACCATATATAGGCACATCATGACTATATATTGGCACAAGTATTTGTTACTCTTAATATCAATAAGGTTTGCTCCTTTATTGAGAACACAATTACCATATGTTGTTCTATGAAATACAATACAACATAAGGTAGTCATAACATAAGGTTTTCAGCCTAATGAATAGATTAGAAAAGAGCGACAGTTGTAATTAATTAACATTGAGTTTACTCTTCACCATCCACTCGCTATTGTACATGGATGAGATAGAAAAGTAATTAATATTGATAAAGCTGACTATGGAGATAATATGTATTGTATGTTGGACTTAAAATAAAAATTGGAATAAAATGGAATACCGTAAAACCTTGAATAAAAGACCAAAGTGAAACCCACCTCAAATTGAAGCCCCCTCTTTAGTTTGCAAAAGACTACAGAGGCTAGTTCAGAGTACAGGATTACCTCTAATTAAAGACCCCTCCAGTTAAAGAACATCTCCAATTACAGACCATTTTTTTGTGGTCCCAAATTAACAAATGCATCTTTATTATTCAAACTAGAGACCAAAGTTGTTGAAGACCATGAAAACCCCAGTTCTAAAAGTGGTCTGTGGAGGAATGTCTATATATGGTCATAATGTGAGTCATCATGACCATATTTAGGAATGTCGCATGTTTTTGTAAATAAAATTTGATAGCTGATTATTTTGGGATCCTTAGGTAGATAGATCTTTCTTTATTCTGGATTACTTAATCAACTTTTACATTGTTTTTCCTTAAGGTCCAATTAATAGTTAAAACATTAAAATAAGAAATAAAATTAAGTTAAGAAATTATATACAAAAACTTAAGAAAATCTGGTAAACACAGCAAAATTGGTATACACAAGTTCTAAAATGAAAATGTAATATTTGATCAAATTCTTGAAGGAATCAAATTTAAGGAATTTATTGAACTGCGAATATCAGGGGGAAGATTGTTTCACAGTTTAACCGAGCGGTATTTGAATGTTTTTTTCCCAAATTCATTGTTCCATTAATAGGTAAAATTAATGTATTTTTCTTTGTTAATGAGGCTTCAGAATTTTAGTTGAAAATTTGATAGTCTGGATAGTGAATTAAGGGCAGATATCATCCATATTGATTCAAGTGCTCTATAGAGTACACCCTACAGTGTTACATCACGATACCACATGATACTACTCCATTGCTATCATTGCAAAATGCGTTCAACCGGACACCATTTTCTTCACTGACAAACCATTGATCCCAATTTAGTGTTTCTTTGTAAATTTTAATTGATGATTACATGTGTGTTCAATAACTAATATAGTGCGAGCTTTTGTGGTTTCAGTACATTTTGATGGTAAAATATTAGATTTTAAAATGCCTATTCCAGAAAGCTATGAAGTGTTTCAGGCGTAATGAACGGTAACCAACGTCTGGTTGGCAACAGAGGGTGCCACCTTTTCGTTGAAATGGCATGACTGTGGTACTCTATTTGAATAATACCAAGATACAGTCACATGTTGTGAATGTGTAATATTAGAAATATTTGTAATTTGAATAATGATACAATTACAATGACCAATAATGGAAATTATAGATTCAATATTCATAATTTTATAGTCAGAATTGTATATTCAGAATTTTGTATTCTATCAACTGCATACTGTCTAGATATTTTATCGATTATTTCTGCATTATTTTCTATATAAAAAAAGAAAGAGATATTACATTTATACTAAGAATGGGTTCATTTGTCATCTACATAAATTATTTTATATATTTTATTATGTATAGTGGATATTTTAATAAATATTTCTATAGGCAAAATTTGTTTAAAAATGTTTTTATTGTTTTGTTAAATAAATTGTAACATTTGTGAGGATAAAATAAACTAATATATCTAATTAAAAAAATATCGTACTATATGATTTTTGTAAAGTGAATGTCATACTGCATTGTTGGTTTATCAAAAACCCCAGGATCTGCCGTTGCTGTGGCTATTTAAGTATCTCTTGACAACTATGATCACTCTCCCCCTCCCCTCCCTCCACAGGATCTACCTCTGTTGCTGAAATTGATTGCTGTAACCACCCTTTTTGCTCTCATTATAGAAACACTGCACAAGACAGAAAGCGCAACTTCGTATTCGATTTAAACCGTCGCTGTATCAGCACGTTGGGACGCATTCCTCCTTAAAAGGCAAGCTACAGAAGCTTAAGGTAAAAACAATATTTTGGATTTACCCCCTTCACCCCCAAAACATATTGAGGAATATATA